ACGATAGATTGTAGAACTAGTCAAAAGCTATCAAATATCATCTCTAATTTTTTCAGACAAGCACACAATATTTTCTTCATAGGTTCTAAAGTTGGTCAATTTTTATTTGATGTGTTAGTGTGACCCACACTATAGAAAGTAGAAATTAATTAAGGCATTCACTATTAAAAACATAAGTGTAACACCCCTTTACTACATGTGTAGCCCCCTTTATGACAGTGTCAAAATACTTTGGGCTGCATGTATAATCCGAGTATTACCTTAATATTAAGGAAATTTCCACCATATTCTTTAACACTGTTTGTGTATATTGTTAATGGGTAATGCCTGCTTGTATACAATTGTTTAAACATTGTGATCATTAGATGGACTTTCTCCAATAATGTGAACAGAATAAATAAAAAATAGATAATATATTAATATTAATAATATCTTATGCATTATAAATATATATCCTATTTCATTATGTGTTTTAACCTGTAGATATAGTAATAACATAATAGATATTATTATTATGATCTTTTAGAAATGTCTAACAGCATGAAGAATATTATGAAAGAGCATTGATAAAATGTTAAAAAAAAAAAACTAAATAATGTTAATAAGTTTACCACAAGTGTAAGGGAAGGAAATGTGATTTATTAATCTCAACAGTTCATATAAAATATTGACAATGTAAAAGATCAGTAGTATTATATAACAAAGGTACCTAAAATCATGACAATTTCAGAAAGCTCTGTGCAGATTTACTGTTGTCAACCTATGAACTTCACTTCTTGTTCATCTCTGCAACTGAACTTGATGGACTTGATGTGAAAGAACTTTCAGTATATAAAGCACCAAAGGATGTTTATGCAAAATTTCATGCATATTTGTTTGTGGAATTTTTATGTCACATTAATGAGTATTTTAAAGTACTTTTTCAATTAATTTTGTTAGTTGCACAATATAAATATGATCATCACTTTATGTCGCGTTTAGTGATAAAATCAAAAGTCCACTATGCTAACTTTTTGTAGGGCATGAATTAATTCTCAAATCATCAAATCTTTTTGTCTACTTTGCAATTATTGGTGTTATCTTTGATCAAGATAAAAAAGACAGAGATGATGTTTACATTTTACCAGCCTTTTTCACCTTTCAGATTTAGTTCCTTATCCAAGCTCTACTTCTTGGATTCATAATTTATCAATGGTTTGAACTTGCTAATGATGTCAAGTTGAAGGTGTTAGTTGGCATAATGTCATTGCTGGTACATTATCCATCATTTAGCTTATACTTGCTGTAAGTATATTATCATCAATATCATTGGGCGCCTTCAAAAATTATTAGATTGAGATTGAGATTGAGATCTAATTTTAATATGAAATTTCAATCTAGGTCAGGTAGTAAGATTGAAAAAATAAATAAAAAAATTTTTTAAAAAAAAAATGGAAAATATTGAAGTACCCAAAAAACAAAGTCATCAATACTAAAATCATTAGCATTGGTATTTGTAGGTTCAAGGTCCAATTCATTTCTTTGATGATTAATAAAAGAGAAAAGAGATGTAAAAATTCCATTTTTAATTAATAATTGTTGATCATCTTGATAAAATAATTTTTGATCATGGATTGAAAATTTCAATTTCAATCCAATCAAATATTCAATTTTAATCTCAATATAATAATTTTTGAAGGCACCCATTATATTTTTGATAAAAATTACCAAGTTTTCTTTTAGCCAAATGAAAAGTTGTATTGTTGGAAACATTCATTTTATTGTCCATGTTTATTATTTTGTTCTGTTTATATCACTTTATCCACAAGAAATTTAGCAGATTGATTATTTATTCATTATGGGTTCACCACCATTTATACTGCTTGGACCTTCTACACCACCATTGTCAACTTCTGGATTGCCTTAACACCATTTTTTCAAGTGTTGTGGTCATTGTAGTTCTTGGTATATTTGGTCTTTCATTTTTTGATTACCACAAACATCATGGTGTTGTCTATGCTGGTACCATTGCTTGGGATATTTCTGCTGAACAAAGGATGTCTTGCTTCTTGTTCTATCCTCAATCTCTTCTGGTTTGATCCCTGGAGGAATTTTGAGAGTATGGGCTTGTAACATTGTTGCATGACTTCATCTTTATAGAGAAATAGAAAGAAAGTATTGGAGAACAATCTTCATTATTAGCATAAATATTGCTAAAGTTTATTTTATCTTTATAACAAATAAATATAATAAATTTGTGCTTATTATATTAATAATAGTAATCACATATATATACATGCAGCCCAAATTGGTTTGGTGATTTTGATGGTCAAAATTATTCCAATTTTGATGGTAGAAAGTAGGAATTAATTACGGCATTCACTATTAAAAACATAAGTGTAACACCCCTTTACTACATGTGTAACCCCCCTTTATGACAGTGTCAAAATACTTTGGGCTGCATGTATACACATAATATTGTATTAAAAAAATAAAATTTGAGTTTAATTAATTATAAATTTATTAACATTACCATTCATAATTAACATCATTTTTTTGTTTGAAAAATGGCAAAAACAGCTCTCTTGATAATTTGATTAAACATTGTGAAACACAAAAGACAATTCATTACCCATTTGTTGAAAATCAGGAAACTTTAGTATTATTAGTTAACCATTTTTTAGATTATCAACTAAAAAATCAAGCTTGTAAATCCCGGTGTATTGTCCAATGGCATGTATTAAGTATAGAGATGTTCCATATGCATGAAAAAAATGCATGATTTTTTTTCAAATCATACAATGTCACATACAGAAAATGCAGAAATTTAATTTTACAATATAAAGCTCATAGTGGTATGTTTGGCAACTCATGGAGATATCTACCAATAATGTGGATTTATTAATCTGGTGGAAAGGTAATTTTGGAGCTGTGGCACCTGAATTGACAAAAGTTGTGGCAAGAGTTCTTTCTATTCCTACCTCATCAGCTGCAGCAGAAAGGAATTGGTCTACATTTTCTTATATACATAATAAAAATAAAATAAATTGACAAATGATCATGTTTTTAAATTAGTTTATATATATTTTAATAATAAATTGAAACTTCCAAAGATAAGTAAAGTTATACAAATGTAGGTGAAGATATTGATGATAGTGATGATGACAATAATGATGATAGTGATGATACTGTTGATGATAGTGATGACAATGTTGATAATGTTGATAATAGTGATATTGACAGTACGAAAATGAATTATCTGTAAACATTTAATTTTCATAATATATTTTTAAAAAATCTTATCCCTTAAACTAAGGTTTCTGGTCCAAACTGTTTTCTCAAAGCCCAAACTAGTTTGGGCAATTTGGGCTTCTCAACATTTTCTATA